GACTACCAAAAAAAAAAATCAGTTAGTGGAAAAACACCTAACCAAACTTGTTTGGTACAAAGAAGGACAGAAGAGTAAGTTCATACTGGAAAAAATGAAACAAGACACCCAGAGCAGATAACAACAAACAGCAAAAAGACCAAAAAGACCAACAGTCCATCTGAGGTCACATAGAAAGATCATTCAAAGAAATACTTTGAATTATGTTCTAAAAGTAATAACTGTCTGAGGTCTGAGCAGGGGCCACTGCTGTTAGACAAAAAAGAACAATTCTGTTTCCTCAAAATAGTTAGAATTAGCTGTTCTTTCACATCCGTTACCTGAGGAGTGGGTTCAGGACCAGCTGTAAATCACAAACCTACTTGACAGCACGGCTTGTCTTTGGCTGTTGGCTGCCAAACGATCTGATTATGACCTCGGGAGCAGGTTTGCTCGGTGATAGTTTGAGGACAAACTAAAAACAAAACAATCCACTCTGACTTCATTCCTTCTTGGCTCATTTCACATCTGACTCCAGCCTCAGTCTGACTGGAAGAATGAACCGAAAACCAGAATCACCCCACAAAGACGACATGTCCTTCAACATGTGTGTTTGACGGCACACACCCGCATTGACCCGCATGGACACGCAGACACACACACACACACACACCTACACCACCCATATAGACACACAGGACCTTAACATCTTTACTGGCTGTTAGTGAATCCTCGGAACACAGGGGGAGGGGCCAAGGTGTGTCCTGCCACCAGGTGATAAAAGACACGCTCCTGCGAACACACACACACACACACACACACACACACACACTCACTCACTCACTCACACACACCCGAGCCCCCCGAGCAGTGAGGGCAACGTTGCTACAAGTCAAAAAGGTGAAAACGTAAACCTCCCCCCACCGCTCGGATGTTTTAATTTTTCAATTTTATCGCCGTTGACAACGTTTCCACAGAAAAAAAAAAGCGACAGCGTCACCTGAGGAAAACCGACTCCTGCCGCACGTTTTCATCAGGTTGTTCTTCCTCTTCACTCGGACACCGGGATTTAAACCGAACCAAACAACCGTCTGGAGCCGTTGACACGCTGTGGTGACTGGGTAGGTTCAGAACTTCATCCTCTGTCTGTCTCAGGTCACGTTTCTACTGCAGTTTCCTCGGCAGCATCTCTGCAGCCAGACAAACAATTTGACAAGTTTAGATTTTTTTTTGTTTGTTTGTTTGTTTTTGTCACTGTTTCACAGATGGAAAGAGTTACAGGAGAAAACACAGAACAACGAGCAGCCGTGTGTTGACAGTGACCGAGCACATGCAGGTATGTGTTCGTGTGCCCCTTCAGTGGGATCAGGTGTGTGGTCAGAATAACTGATGTTCCATCTTGGACAGGGGCCAATGGACAGCAGGAAGAGGTTCTGTAGCTCACACCAATGTTTCCTCTTCTGCCTGCTCTTTGGCCTCGTCTATTTCGCTGTGTACTGTTCAAACATCGCTGATTTCGCGGTGGACTGGAACTCCAGCTGGTGGCTGCAGACGTCGAGGAACTCAACAGCCAGGCAGTGGACGCTTTTCGTCCAGCTGCAGAAGAATGTGACACCCAGCGAGGACGTGAAGGAGCAGAACGGTACTGCAACAAGAAACCACACCCTTAACACGACGGAGGGTAGAACCAACATCACCAAAGTCACCGACGTCGAGCTAACGGCTGAAAGAAACTCATCCGTGTCCGTGCCAACGACCCAGAAAGTGTTGGAACCTTTGACCCCTCCCCCGTACGTGTCTCCGGGTCCGTACTTGGTGGAGTACCCGTCTGACTACCACTTCACCATCAACCAGCCGAAGAAATGTGAGGAGAAGAAGCCGTTTGTGGTTCTGCTGGTACCCGTGGCCCCCAGGAACTGGGCCCACCGTGACATCGTCCGCAGCACCTGGGGCCGAGAGAGTCTGGTCCTGGACAAGGTGGTGTCCCTCTTCTTCCTGCTGGGGCTGTACACCGGGGAGGGCAGCCAGCAGCTACAGGAGCAGCTGCAGCTGGAGAGTGAGGAGCACCAAGACCTGCTCCAGGCCAACTTTGTGGACTGCTACAAGAACCTGACCATCAAAACCATGATGATGCTGGAGTGGCTGGACGCCCACTGCTCCAGTGTGCCCTACGCCATGAAGATCGACTCGGACATGTTTCTGGTCGTGCCCAACCTCATCAAAATGTTGGCCAACACTCCAAGGACAAACTACCTGACTGGGCTAGTGGCGACACAAGGGCAAGTTCTTAGAAACCCAAACTCCAAATGGTACGTGCCTCAGGATGTGTTCCCTCGACCATTTTACCCCCGTTATGCTCTGGGTCTGGGCTACGTTTGGTCATCAGACCTGTCGAAGAAAATCCTGGAGGCGTCCAAACACGTCAAGGCCATTTACATCGAAGACGTGTACCTGGGTCTTTGCATGGAGTATTTGGGCATCGCACCCACAGACCCCCCAAACTGGAACTATTTCCAGATCATTCCTGTGCCGTACTCACGCTGCGCCTTTTCCAAATTAATAGCGACAACAACTAATGAAAGAGACGATCGTCTGAAGATGTGGGCAGACTTTTCAAAACCAGGTCCGTACTGCTGAGGAACCAGACCTGACCGTCTGAGTAAGTGACAGGGCGCTGGCGAGTTTATAAAAGTTGATGCTCTTTGGCCCAGGGAAGGAAGGTCGGCCGTTTGTGTCTGGGCTCTGGCGGACGTGCAGGCCTTTTTGTTTTTTGACTAATTCTCCACATTGGTCTGCTTCCCTGGTCCAAAACCATTAGATAACTGGTTGTTTGTGTAAATGTGAGCATTTATAGTTGTTTGTGCATTGGAATGTAATAAAATGAAGTGCATTGCCATCTAGTGACCTTCCCTTTACTATACAGACATTTTTCCCCAAAACTATTTTTGGGCACACATCATTTGACAAAACCCAGGCATTGCGTTATCAGGTTTTCATTATTGGAGGAAAAACCGATAACGATTCTTACAGATATTACACAATTATGCTTCTATTGGGCCGATAAAATAGTATTATCGACATCCCTACTGCACTGTTTATACACAAAAGAACCTGAAAGAAACAAAAACGAAGGAGATTTTTTTTTTTTTTATTTCAACAGTGCTAATAGTTTAAAACTGGAATGGACTGAAAATCGAAGTGTCAACATGCATTTCCTGACATAGAAATACTACATGTGAATACAGGTAGAACTCTGTGTCATTTACTGGTGGCTGAGTCACCGCACAGTATATTATGAGAAAATGTGAGACACGAAATTAGTCTTAAGTTTTTCAATGTAGGTTTTAGCCTCCAAGTACTAGATGACTTGGAAAGACGAGACCCCACTGACCAGAACACAGCCCCTCAGGGAGTGGAGCCATAGGTCTGAACACAGATCTCGCTGCATGCCAGCACTTGCTTGGACTTTGTGTTTGATGTTTCTGTTTTCAGAGACACAAATTTACAGAAAATGTATAGGTGTGAAACCAAACCCCGTCCCGGGGACACGGGCCGCCATGGTGTGAAAAAGTTCTTATTCTCACTTTAATTCAAATTTCATAAGATTACAACAACTGAAGAAGAAGTGGCTGTGATTGATGTGGGCCATACTGTGGCACAGTGGTTAGTGTGCAGTGGTTTGATTCCCGGTGTTAACTGTCGGTCTAATTGTACGGAGTTTAATCCAGGTTGACCAGTGGTGTGAATGTGAGTGTGAATGGTTGTTTACCTCAAATATACTTTTGTCATGTGACCCAGCTGTACAAGTTTAACTTCAGTCTCTGTTCACAC